CACTTTTGCAAAAATCATAACAAACACCTAAAACTTGAATTTACTTGCACATCCCCCACTCCCCCTCTTCAATGTTGCATATCCGACTTAACCACACTTCGTATTTGATGAAAAATCCCATTCAACATTGGCTTGGGGGAGCGGGGAGATAATTACTTATAAAAAAACATCATTCGAGGCTAAATTCTGTGGGTTGTCCACAACGTTTTGTCCAGGATTGTAGTATACAAAGCAACAGCAACAGTCACAACAAGCAACCCTAACACGATCATGAATTATATTGACATGACATCAACAACATTTAAAGAGCGTTTGGCTAACCATAACTATACTTTCTAGCATAAAGAGCACTCAAACAAAACTGAACTTTCGAAATATATTTGGACATTGAAAGATAACAAGAAAGATTTTAATGTCAATTGGCAAATTTTGAAACGCACTATTTTCGTATACGGGAGGATCAAAACGATGTAATTTACGTTTAGAGGAAAATTTTGTATTTTAAAAGACAACCAAAACCGTTTACTCAATAAAACAATGGAAATTATATCTATACGTGCAGACATAGGAAGAAATTACGCGTAAACAACGCAAACAATACACTCCCACAATTCGATTAGGCATTTCCGCGTAAACAACGCAAACAATAGATGAATGCATGCTTTGTTTCACCCACACCCCCCCACGTTCCGGCAAAAACACATATAAGCAGTCCTATTTTTCGAAACTTGTCATACCGCCTGATGATTCTTTACTGATGAAACAGACTGTTGCGGAATTTTGAGGTAAGCGAAATTATATATATATATATATATATATATATATATATATATATATATATATATATATATATATATATATATATATATATATATATATATATATACACCACACTGTCTTCTATAGTATATATATTCTTGGTATGTGGAAGCTCATCATCGGTGCACTGTGCTGATGAGCCCCAAAAATGGCGAAACAGCTGTCCACAGTTGCCGTTGTTTGAGCTTTCCTTGAAGGGCGCTACAATGTCTTTACTTATGTGCTTTATCGCCGTTTTTAAACTGTGAAATGCAGTGAGCGTGCGCATAAAGGCTTAGGCATAATGTGTAGTATATAAAGTTCTGTAGTGTCCCACATCCACCACACTGTCTTCTATAGTATATATATTCTTGGTATGTGGAAGCTCATCATCGGTGCACTGTGCTGATGAGCCCCAAAAAGGGGCTTTATCGCCGTTTTTAAACTGTGAAATGCAGTGTGCGTGCGCATAAAGGCTTAGGCATAATGTGTAGTATATAAATATATATATATATATATATATATATATATATATATATATATATATATATATATATATATATATATATATATATATATGTACATATATATATATATATACATATATACATATATACATATACATATATATACATATATATATATATA